GTTGCGTCACAGTAGTCATGTGACTCGCTGACGCAACAGTAAGAACAAAATATAGTAATGCGCCTTTCGTTTCAGATCGAGTAAATTCGCGTTAAAGGTACTTATCAAGAAACTTTTATTTGAATATAGTATTTCAGAGTTATTATTCATTAAATTGAGTAATGTTTACTACCTTTGATTTCTGAAAGTATAGATAGTTGTGACTGTATTTTCTTTTAGAGGCCAGGTAGTTAGGGCGTTCGGCTAGCAATCTGCATGTCACGGGTTCGAATTCTCGTCACACCAAACCTTTCAGCCGTGGTGGCGTTATTATGTTACGATCAATCCCATTATTCGTTGGTAAAAGAGTAGCCCAAGAGTTGGCGGTAGGTGGTGATGACTAGCTGCCTTCCCTCTAGCCTTACACTGCTAAATTATGGACGGCTAGCGCAGATAGCTCTCGTGTAGCTTTGCGCGAAATAAATTAATAAAAAAATATTTTAGTCCAGAACTACACACTAGGCTGTCTGAGTTTTGTCCGACGCAATAGGTGTGGCATAACAAAATTGAAATAGGATGAAATAGAATACATTCCCTGTTCTAGAGGGCGCTTTTGAAAAGCCATGAGAAAATTCCTAAAATTTCTTTAAAGTTTCAATCATTCTACTTTTGTCATTGGAAAACAATCGTTATTGTAGTCTTTTTGGCGTTGGTCTATAACAGCAGTTGCTTCTACGGAAAATCCTCTCGATGATATTAGTTGTCGCTACATCTTAGTATAAAGTAAGTTTTTTTATTTATGATATGGTTTATTCATTTACTCAAATTATTACGTATTTACAATGTCGAAGCTGAAAATGAAATTATAAGACAAGCCCTTCACGAGATACTTAGGCACTGAGTCTAACTCCTATTCCTGAGTTCTAACTTGATACTAACGTATATTAATATTATTATAATTTATTTAAAAGAATAACGATAAGGTAGAAGATGCTAAAAACTTCCCCTACTGAGTACTGGTAGTAGTACTCTTAGTCTTAACCCTACTGAGTATTACTATTATACTTTTAATATTATAGTATTAGTATTACGACTTGTACTAGTATTACTATTATTAGTAAATAACTGTAAGTACTAGCTGTTTATCAGCCATACTACTGGTACTAGTTCAACTTAGTTGAGATATATAATATTTTATCTGTTATTTTCAGTAATTAATCTCTGTACAGGTTTGGTAGATTTGACCTATCTCACAACCAACAAAAAATAATTGGGAAATAAATATAAATTATGCCTCTTTCATTCTAGAATGAACACAAATTATAACACGAAAACATAAAAAAGTTTAGACTAAATAGCTTAAATCTCATAACATTATACATCTATATATATTTATTATTTTTATTTTATTGACCTTTCAGCCATGACTGGCTAACAATACAGAAGTTACAATGACGCGGCACGCATGCACTCATGTTACCATATCCAATAACATAAAACTGACCTTTGGTCTGCACAAAGTAACTTGTCTTGGCTGTGTTGACTAACTTATTTTTCTTAAAAACTTAGAACAGTAAATAAAGAAGTAAAGCAAACAATTATCTCTTCTAGTTACAACGTTTGTACTTGGTTGCTGCTTGATATAGGTTGCTAAACCTTTAAAAATTTTGCACGTGGAGGATATGAAACAAAATAATTTTTTTTAGGTTTTATATATGTACATTGGAATAATTAGAAAATCATAAATTACTACATCAATACCATAGAATTCCACTATAATTTATCAAGCTTAGTAACTAAAATGTATTTTAGTCAAAAAAAATATATGAAATTTCATGTAGACTAAAGACACCCCCTACCTCCTTGAAATCTTTGTTCAAAAGAAAGAAATGGCATTCTAAGAATTTATATTGGCTGAGAAAGCCACTAGGGGGACATTCTGAGCTTCTGATTGGTTATTCATGTCATATATAGAAGTAAATGTATATAAGAGAATGTTTCCAAAAATGGAAAGAGGTTTGTGCTTGATTTATTACATGAGCAATATCTTGGCGAAAAGACAAGACCTTATTTTATATTCTAGCTTGTCAATATCAATAATTTGAGTTTCTAATTTGTATGAAACTATAGACAAGTGCTGCATTCATGTGGCAACATGACACACAAAAATGTATGTTTATCAATGTTTCTTTAATATTTGCTTTTAAATTAAGAAATTGAGTAATATATAGTACTAAAATTTGAATTATAATCTACAGTTTCATATCATACTTACTGATATAAGTTCATGAAATAGTAGTTCAATGAAATTTTGAATGCGAGTCAACAAATGAGATGACATGGTCTTTCACCCGTGACTCATCTCCAAAGGGTTAAGGTCACCTTGTATCTAGTACATGCTTTAAACTGAGTCATGATTAATTAAGCATACAGTATGACTACACTGCAGTAAAATCCATTGTCAGCATTTGCATTAACACTTTTTAAGCAAAGATGCATAATTTTAATACAAGGGATAAAGAAACTTGCTTTATAATGAGTCCTAAATCACTTTCACATTGCTCTTTTAATCCTGTTCCCCACTGTATAGTTTTCAATAAAAAGATATGTTTTGTCTGCATTTTGCTTCATTTGGACACTACAACATTCACACTATTCTCTGTGGTGTTGTGGGGGGAAATTCTCTGTCCTGTTTTATGGGGCACACATCATCATAATTTGACTTGAATGCAGCTTCATCTTAGTGTTGATTATTTAATACCAGGTTACAACGGTGAAGAGTAGTGTAAGTGTTAAGCACTCACAGTTAATCAAATGCAATAGGTGCTAGGAGTGAGTTTTATTAGGGAATTCAGAGCTGACAGGCACATTTAAAGATGCTAGCAATGAACTTGTACAACTTGTATGTAGAGTCTGTGGTTTGAAGGGGAAATTGGAAGCTGTTTTAAGTAGGATAAAGATGATGGAAAAGGAGAAGGGTAACTGTAAGAGGTGGAAGCAGGACTTTGAGAGGAAACTGAGATTTTGTAATGCAAATAATACAGGGGCTAGTGATGATGTTCAAGAGGTTGGAAGCAGTAATGATGGAGCTTGTGGTCACAGATGTAATTACAAAAAGAAGACTGATAAAGAACAGATTTCAGCTTTTGGCTTATGTATATGATGAACTTGAAGAGGAAAGGATAACAAAAGGAATAAAAGGTATTGGAATGAAAAGCAAATCTGTTATGGTTATAGGATATTCTTTAGTATGTTGCATGGATAAAATAGTCTCCAATATAAATGGGAGTAAGAGTTAAATTATACAATCTAGGGGCAGAGGTGGAGAATATAGCTGACAGAGCAAGTGATATAGTAAAGGGTGCTAATAGAGATATAGTAGAGAAAAAAGGATTTAATAAAGGTATTCAATTCAAAGAAACAGGTCATAATAATATTAAAAGGTTAAAATTCAAGGAACTTGTGCATATATTTAAAATATTAAAATCCACAAACGAACAATGTTTTACAATACAAAATTAAATCTTTATTTAAACTGATCAATGGTTGTAAAAGTCATTCTACATGTTTCAACGTGGTTTCACATCATCTTCAGGAGTGTGAAAAACAGTTACTATGTGCTATACAAGTACAAAAGCCATGGTCATGTGACACTAGTTTACAATTGAAAGAAACAAAATCATGCCATCTACATACATTCCGGAGTGTATAAACTATGCTTAAAAGTTCTTATTTTTAGGGTATTACATGAAGAAATGTTAATTTACATGAAAGAGTTCAATACATTACTTCTATTCCTAAGCACTGGAAACCACTCACTAATTAGTGACAAGAATTGAGGAAAACGTATTTAAGTAAAAATTCAGCCTCTACATTCACTCTAACTATAGCTGGTTGATTTTATCAATATAATAAGGATGTCTTCATGGTCCACCACCCCAGTGGCTAAGAGTTAGTAAGTGGAAAGGGCTTCCATACTCCACTCCAAGAGGGATGGGACACAGTTGGGAGTCTAGAAGAATGCAATACTGGGGAAAGTGCAATGGGAAACCACAAAACCCTATTTTTTAAAAGCAGGTGCAAATTTCAAATTTTTATACATGTGTCCAATGTGCATAGGATAAATCAAAAGTAGTGTATTTCTGATTATAACTATTTTTGATTATTCTAACAATAAATTAATTAAAATTCTAATTAAATTGACTGTTATGAAAATAATAAACTACCTAAATTAGTATTTCCTATATTACTGTTTACAATTATTACAACTACCGATTAATCACAATTGCAATTAAATTGATTGTTACGAACATAATTACCCAAATGAAATTAGGGTTTCCAATTACCCAATTATTAAAGTAATCAAAATATTGATATTATGTTTTTGTTGTTAAGCACAAAGCTATATAATGCACTATCTTTGCTCTGTCCAATTTTAGCCTTACAAGTTGTTTTTCTTTAATTAATCTTATTCAGCTTTGGTGATTCAGGGAGGATCATGATTCATGCATCTGTGGTTCAATTCCTATTGCCACCAAACTTGCTTGCCCTGTCTTTCTGATGGTGTCACTGTCACCACTTCTAAACTGCTGAATAAAGTGAAGACAATTAACTGGCAGCAGTCATTTTGCTTCACGAATCACACTAAATAAATAACAGAAAATTATAAACATTGATTTTAAAATGTTTTTGTGTTAAAATGTTGAAATACAGTTAGAATTAACATTTCAAAATGACTTTCAAATTTATATCTCAAAAGAATTTATAAAGTGGGAAAAAATATGAAATGCCAGAATAAACTGTCTTCATACTTAGGTATAATAATTCCAAATTATTATTTGAATCCTAAACTTTGTACATGAAAAGGTACTAAGCACATGAGTTAACACAACTGCACTGTTTTGCAATGTTTAGAAACAATGAAAGATATATTCACTTATTAGTCATCTGTTGCAACAACACTGTGTACACTTTTCCAGACTTGTTACTCCAGACAATTCATTGCTGTTTTACTTGTTCATGACAATGTTGGAGATGTAGGTGTTGTATCTACAATTAAATAGTTACTAATCAAATGCTTTGTAACCAATCAAGGAAAACAATAATCATAATTCATTGTATTTATTATACAATGCATACTTAGCTAAAGTAAAAATCATATTGTTCTAGTAGCCTAAATTTAAGGTCAAACAACATAAAATTTAAAATTAAAGTACTATCAATTTATCTGGTAAGTTACAACTTTTGATAGTTTTAACTTTATCTTACAAGGTTTGAAAATCATTATGGAATAAATAAAAACAGAACTAGAAAATATATTCAGACAATGTAGTAGTATGTTGTTAACAAGTAACAACATTTTACTTCTCCATGCCAGCTGCAATAATGTTTTATTTTTACAATGATGATGTGATACCAGTTAACTTTCTAATAGTTAGCTGTGTAATACTATTAGAAACTTATGAAATAAGAGACTTGCACCATAGTAATATAGCATTTTGGGTTGATCAACGTTGACTAAAAAGTCTTACAGTAACCTACACAAGTTAAACTTAAAATAACATTAATATAATCTACAAATGATTAGCACAGTTGGGTTATAATAGAGCAATGTCAAAGCTCATAACTATATTTCTGATATGATTATATGAAAATAAACAGTTAAAAACAAAATTAAAACTATATATAATAATAATAAAAAGATTATGGAGTCCATTTGCAAATATGCCTGTTTCAAAAAATACTTAACGTAATTACTTATACAGTCATAGCACTTTACATTTTCACTAATTTTGGACATTAACAATATAAAAAGTATTTCTTTTTTCATGAGAATTCTAGCTCATAAACCCATTCTGTAATAAGTATATGAGCTGTAGGTGTCCTAAACAATACTAATTTTAATTAAAACATTTCTTTGAAATCTAACACATTATTAATCTGTCTGAAAAATCCAAGGCACAAATATTTACCATGTCAACATTTAATTGACATTCATACTGTATTAGCCATAAATAATCAGTTATAGAGTAAGACCTTGACTAAATTGCTGTAGATTCGAGCTATGTTGATTTCATAAAACTTCAAAAATAAGCTTTTATGGTAATTAATAGATCAATCAAATAAAAACACTGATACCTAATTTTTGTTCTATTCTATATGGTAGTGTAAGGTTGGCTGCCTGTTGTTTTTTATTAATTTATGAAAAGGAAGATAAGGAGTTTACTCCACCCTTCCCTTAGATATATGCCTGCTTAAACAACATTAAAGAACAGTTATTAATTTCTGAAGAAAAAAAAAAAGGAGTAGTTCCAGCCTCCCTGGATCCCCACTTACTTGTGAAACAAGATTGCAGTTATGCAACTATAAATTAGTAAAAAAAGAATGTAATAAACACTAAATTTACACTTTATTTAATAATTAAATATCCAAAGTGTCAGTGGTGGGTACTGCCAGCCAGTTGCCTTCCCTGTAGTCATCAGTTCAAAATTAGTTACTCTGTGAAAAAGCCTCAGTAGCTTGTTGACAGGGTAAGCAAGTTTGGTGGCAATGAGAATTGAACTTACACACTTGAATCCCAAGTTCTTCCCCCAAATCATCAAGCCTTGCTAAAAACAACTTATAACACTACAATCAGCTTTTGATACCCCCAGTGGACACATCGGAGTACAAATTATTGAACTTTGGAATTTCCTATCCGTAAATATATCAATTATTTCAATATTTTTCAGTAAATTATACTGTTTTAACTCTCAAAGTGAGTTAATTTGGTGCACCTGTTGTATATTGTAAAATAAAACTACTACATGAAGTAGTTTGAAACTTCAGGTGAACCTCTTACAGATTCTGCAAATCAAATATTTCTGTGTAATACTGTTGGAATTTGCAGCTTTGAAAATTTTAAACAGTTTCATTGGGATATGTTTTTTAAGAAACAATAAGAAATGTTTACTTTTGTTGTAGATTTTTATGCCTTTCTATATTCTTGTAAAATTTTCCTAATTCTTATTTTACAAAACTGTAAATATGAAACTATATCATTGGTTTGATTTGAAAAACACCACATACACAGTGGTCTCATAAGCAAGTCCCCTTTTTTCAATACTTATTCAGAAAGATTCATTTAATTATAACCCATTTTATACTCAATTATATATATATATATATATAATTTTTTATAATCAGCTGTTGATTCCCTTTGACCCTTCGATGAGTTCCTTAGGCCCAAAAGACCTAATATAAACACAGCTACCTTGTCAGAGAAATAGAACCTAATATTGTTGAGTTCAAAATCATTAGCTTATTTCACATGATTACCTAACAAAATGTAATTGGAAATATATGTAAATAACAGAATAAACCAAACCAATGATCAAACAACCCATTTCACAAAATTATAATTTTTATAATTATAAGTGTCCTATGAAACAATTTCTTAAGTCTACCTTACTGTGTTCACATTTTTCAAACAACTAATCTTTCTAACAGCACATTTCTGTATTATCAATAAGAGCAACAAATGCACTCAGTATTCTAAATAATGGCTTATATATATACTGTACCAGAATGTAAGACATTTCTTATTGTGGTTAGCCTGTGGAATAGTTTGCCTTCAGATGTGGTAGAAGATAGAAACATGAAGGAATTTAAGACAATGTTAGTATTTTTGAAAATAATGTTAGGTATAACTTATAATAATAAAAGGGGTTTCTATATGTAGTTTAGAATAGGGTGTCAGTAAAAAAATAGGACAGCCTAAGTGGACAAAAAGGACCCTTATCTTTTTCAAATGAAATAGTACAGAACAGATATATGAACACCTCTAAATATAAATAGGGTCAATATACTTATTTTTCTGGTATTAGCAATATTTCTACCTTTTATTTTATTAAAGGTAATGCTAAATACATTTTAAAACAGGTACACATGACATTGGTAGGTATTTTATGTTAACGTTAAGATGGACTTAAGCTTGTGAAATATGATGAACAAAGAAAAACTAACTCACAAAAATTGTTTCATACAAATTTTATGATATGTTACATTAGGGAGAGAAGGATGTGTAATTCCTTATCAAATACAAGTTTAGAAATTGGAATGCTCTTGATATTTGCATAGATCATCTCATTTTCAAAATTTTCTGGTTTTTGCTTACATTCCAGTGTCAAAATAATTGTAAGTGCTAAAGATACTGGTCATGATTTTTTAATCTAATGTAAAAGTTTTTTCTAAGAAATGTATGATAATTATCTGGACATTATAAAGATCTTGCATGTGAAATTTCAAAATTTTCTGATGCATAAAAGTATTTTTAATCTTAAAATGAATATTATTTTGCATGATAGATAGCCAACATGCGAATAGAAAAAAGACAAGACTTAATAAAAAAAAATTGATATTTTTCATATGAAAGCATTGTAATGTTTACTGATAATCTGCTAAATTTTGTTAACATTCGCTTACTGATTTAAAAGTTATAGCATGAAAACTATAAGAAGCACAAAATGGAGACAAGGCCGGTCCCAGGGACTGAGCCTATGCTGAAAGAGTTAAAGGAAGAACTTTATGTACCTTGTTCATGCACCCACGATATCCTCATTCCTTCTGAGCAAGAAGAAAGTCCTTGTCTTCCGGGATCCTGATCAGGGTCAAGGTATCTCTATGAGTGAAGTCAGAAAGGTCATTTAGATTATTGATAAACTCTAGTTCATTAGCTTGCCATGTGTCAGTTTTCTTTGTGAATTTTTCCTTAGCTTTGCCAATTGTTTAGAAAGTTTCTCCAGTTTGATAATGACATGATATTCTGGATGAATTGAAATTTGATCCTTGTCCCAAAAAGCTACAACCTCCTTGATCACAACCTTTGGACTTTCACAAACTGTTTTCTTTAATGTTTTGTGATGATAGAAGAACAGACACAACACTTGTCTATTTTGAAGATAATTTGCTTCCAGTTAGTTCAGTTTCTTTTGAACCAAGTAGCCACAGTTGCACTTCTAGTTGCACCATCCATTTACAATAATAAACTGATACAATGTCAGCTAAAATGATACAGAAGAATCTGCTTAAGTGCTTATATATCCTTACAGAAATTCTAGAAACTACTGTCATGTCATACAGAATATTCCAGAAGCAAACGAGTGAAAGCATCGAATATTTGTATATGGAATTATTTTGAACATTCTGAATAATGAGGAATATTTTTTGAATATTTTATAATTACTTAGAATATTCTGGAACATATTTTGAATATGCAAATATAATGCAAGTTACAAGATAAAATGTCAATTACCATGAGCAACCCTTAGATGTTATTCAATATGGATCAAATTTGGTATGAATTACTTATTTATATATTGGAACAAAATGAAGGGTGAGAGTGTTGTTAATTAAAACAACAAAAATAAGAACCTTCCTAATTGCCAGTATTATAATGAATTATTTCAGGCAGCATTTTAAGTGTAAACCAACCTTAATACATGAAGTAAATCATGTCATATTGTGGTTTATTAGAATGATTAATTATTAAAAATGTGTTAAGAAATAGTAATTCCTATTTATTTTGTGTGTATATATATGCCATCCAAAACCTTTGTTAATTAGTACAAATCTTTTCAGTTGTTAATTGTACTCGCTTAAGTGGATTCTTTTTGCAACTCCTACAACTGATCTATGACAATGATTCGTGCCTTTATCCCAAGTTTTCGCCAAGCAGAAGGAGAACATGGTGGTCACTTTACTGTGAGTAAATGTATAATCTGTTTTTAGCGCACTTAATTTTTATATGTTACTAGCAAATCTGTGGGCCTATGACCCACATTTACAAGGCTGCTATAATGCATGTTTAATTTCTTTAACCAAAATACAAATGTTAATTAGTAGTCCTTCTTATTCACATGCTCTAATGTAAATCAATACCAAACTTGATGTTCCCCTTCGGAGAATTCATGTAAAAGTGTTTTTGTGAAATACCTGGTTTCTCTAAGGGGTTGGGTGAAAGTTTAACTTTGTTCAAAGATTGGGGGGCTGGGATAATTTGTATG